ATACATTGGACGAGCAGTATGGAGGAATATTGACACGTTTTTTGTGGACTTTTATGGACCTTTCTGTCTCGGTCACCATAGACCTCCATTATTTGAATGTCAGCAGACAGCAAGAAGCCTCCCAGATCTCCAGATGCATTTGAGATATCAAAAAAGTACTCCAGAGTGTTGTTCAGCATGGGGGTGAGTAGAAAATGAAGGCTAATCATGTTTTGGGTGTACTATTCCTTTAAGAAGGTATTTTCCTTTGCTCTGCTGATTGGCGCTCAATGTTTCACTATTTTTAAGTTAATGTGCATGTAGTTCCTTAGAGAACTGTTTTAGGGTACATTTCATAGTTGTTTCTAAAGTCAGTTTCTATTGAACTTCCAAGGATGGAAATCCCAAGTGTTCAGAGAAAACTGATTTATTTTTTGTGATTCAGATGTTTTTGCAGGCTTAAAAGCATGGTTATCTAGCGGAGAGAGAAAGACTCTTTGGTTTAAACTCCCGGCTTTGCAAACAACTAACATACAAAGAAAAAGGAGAAAAACACAGTTTTAAGATCCAACCACATATGGCTTATCTCTAGCTTTACTCCATTCAGGCTTCCAAGTATTAACAGAAGTAGTTTCTTGATCAATTCAGAAAACCTTAACACAAAAGTGCAAAATTATAAAAAGGATACCTCCCTCCAAAGTCCACCGTTCTGAATGCTGGATACTTGAATGCTCAAAATGTGCTGCTCCCAAAGCTAGAAATACAGCAAGACTCAAACTACTCTCTGCACTCTTGATGCCGTCTCCTATAGACGTTGCATTTGAACCTGGTGCTCAAAAAGTGTTTATTGTGAAATATTTAGCCAATTAGCATCACCAAAATTTATGGGTTTGGGGTCCTGGGATTTTCGCCCCTGTTACAGTGATATAAGTGATGTAGCTAGTAGTCAGTGAGGCAGTGAGGTAGAGATTATAGCGAAGAGTACTTTTTCAAACATCAGGATCTGACCCAGTATGGATAAAGACAGGTAGGACTGATTTAAATCACTTTTTAGAAATGAACAATTTGGGATTCACATGGAAAATAACATCATATATAGTGTACTTTTTCTAGGTGTTTGTTAAATAAACACAGTCTCAGAAAATGTTTTTTGTGTTTTTATAATGTTTTTTTGTTGCTGTATTCATATAAATATACTCGTGTGATAACTTTGATTAGTTTTTGGTATACACTACCTTTCAAAAGTTTGGGGTCACCCATACAATTTTGTGTTTTCCTGAAAAGTCACACTAATTCACCACCACCATCTGTTTCTGCTTCTGTTTCTCAAACTAGAGACTCTAATGTACTTATCTTCTTGCTCAGTTGTGCAACGCGGCCTCCCACTTCTTTTTCTACACTGGTTAGAGCCTGTTTGTGCTGTCCTCTGAAGGGAGTAGTACACACTGTTGTAGGAAATCTTCAATTTCTTAGCAATTTCTTGCATGCATTAGCCTCCATTTCTAATAACTAGAACAGACTGTCGAGTTTTAGATGAAAGTTCTCTTTTTCTGGCCCTTTTGAGCGTTTCATTGACCCTACAAATGTGATGCTCCAGAAACTCCATCTGCTCAAAGGAAGGTCAGTTTTGTAGCTTCTGTAATGAGCTAAACTGTTTTCAGATGTGTGAACATGATTGCACAAGGGTTTACTAATCATCAATTAGCCTTCTGAGGCAATGAGCAAACACATTGTACCATTAGAACACTGGATTGATAGTTGCTGGAACTGGGCCTCTATACACCTATGCAGATATTGCACCAAAAACCAGACATTTGCAGCTAGAACAGTCATTTATCACATTAGCAATGTATAAAGTGTATTTCTTTAAAGTTAAGACTAGTTTAAAGTTATCTTCATTGAAAAGTACAGTGCTTTTCCTTCAAAAATAAGGACTTTTCAATGTGACCCCCCGGGGGAAAACTCGACGAATACACGCCCATTGAGGTGGTTTAAAGTGTATTTTTCTTAAAAAACTAAAGGGATAAACTAAAGAGATAAACAGGTATTGACGATAAGTATGCTGGTCTGACCGGGTATGCTCATCTGATAGAACACCGACATAGTAAAAAGTATCTCGGCAGAGGATTTTGAACTCAGGACCTTGTTGCCAGGAAACAGTTCTACCAACTGTGCTGCTGCACATTCCTCTGTGCAACATATATAGTATTTTATATCTGCAGATTGTTTACTCCTTTTTCTGGCTTGGTGAATTATTCAGAGTATGGTTTGATATCAGCCTCTCAATGTGTGAGTGTGACTGTCTTCTCTGTGCTCATTTGTTGTGACAGCTCATCTAGGATGTCATTGCTAGAGTCTGGCAGACCCTAAGGACTCCTGCTGGGTGAGCAGGCCTCCTCGGATAATTTGTCTACCAGACTCAGTGATGACAGCCTGCCGACCATTCGGCCTCGGCGTCACACATGGTGCTAAAACTCAGCGTTAGGAGTTTCTCAAAATTAGTTTGTGCGTTTTCTAAAGGGGCAACATTGAGGTGATGGTGAGAGCAGTAGCAGTTCGTGAATCAGTCCTGTAATAGGCTTTGTGTGGATATGAACGCTAGCTGACGGGTAGGAGGGACCGAAGAGGGAAAGCCAGGACCCGTAGAAACAGAGACAGATGGAATAGTTTACCTCCTCTGGCCCAGACTTGACTTTCAGTCTCTGACCTGTTGTAACCTACATTCTGCTCACAGTTCCCGTAGAGTGGCACAGACTTCCCACACTTTTTTATTTCTAAGACTCCTATGCTTCCCCACTAACCCCTCTACCCTACCTGGCATAGTGAGGAGTATCTTTGCCTGAGAGAAGCGCCAAGTGCCAGACCACGCTTCTCACAAATTCATTAGGGGGCCCCCCCCACACCCTGCCAGACAGCACTTCGAGAGTGGGTCTCAAGACTAATAGCAAGTACAGATTTTGTTATTTTAATATCTCTCTCTCTCTCGCTCGCTTGCAGACACTCTACTCAAATTCACACACATGGTATTCATTTCAAAACTTCGCTCTGTGCAGTTTGAGATCTTTGGTGAAAAACAGAATATGAGAGGAAAACACAGCGTCAGGACTGATTTCCTGATGGCCAATCTGGTGGCTGTATGATTCTAAGCCTGACAAACACATACAGATTCAGATATAGACACACAAATGCAACTTTCACACACATCTATAGCAGTGAGCTATAGAAGTGCGACAGATCAGGTTCATCACTCCCAGGAGAATAATGGACCCGTTTGTCACATATGACATTTCGCTATTTTTTTTCACTACTTTTACTTTTACAAAAAAAATGATTTGTAGTTTAACCACAATCTGCACATTTGCCATATTGTGTATGAGTAACTAAATTTCAAAGCTAAAAAATCATTCCTGGGAATTAACTAAATTTAAAGGAATAAATGCCAATAAACCTGGAATTTAAAATGTCAAATGAAAGGTTGACAAAAACGTGAAAAAGAACCTAAGCATGAATGATTGAAAGGTTTAAATGTCGAGTGGAGTGTCTTTGGTGTAAAATTGTTTCAATGGGGTCTCTATTTTTTCACAAAAAAATTGAGGACCGTTTTTGCCAAAGTCAAGAAATTATGCCTGGCGTTACGTTTTAGCTAACAGCTATGGTTTAAGACTAAGGTTTGGACTAGGTTTAGGGTTAGGTATAATAATAACAATTATAATAATTGAACTTCATTGATCTCACATTGGAGAAATTTACCTCTGCATTTAACCCATCCCCTTGGGGAGCAGTGGGCTGCCATTGTGCGGCGCCCGGGGAGCAATCAGGGGTTAAGGGTCTTGCTCAGGGACCCAGAGTAGCACTCTGTGGGAGTGGGACTCAAACTCAGAACCTTTAAGCCCTAACCACTAGGGCGCCAATCCCCTACCAGGCATGGACTGGTAGTCATTAGAAGTAGGGTTGTTGTCAGGATTTGGGCCTAGAAAGGGTTGAAAATGACTGAAAAATCAATGGAAGTCAACACATGGTCCTCATAACACACCGCAGGACCAGAACGTATGTGAGTGTACTTTAGATTTGATGCATGATTGCAAATGAAAAAAGTAAAACATTAACATTTATGTTTTAAATGAACGTGCTGTCAATAGTGTCGAGCACCAAGAATTGATAATCAAACAAAAGCGGTTCTACATTTTTGATTCTCCAGGATTCGTTAAAATATTTTCACTGCTGATCCTGATTGTCATTGTTCTGGAATTGTTTAACTGCAAAGGTTGGGAATAATCCTGCAAGGTTGAGCTCCCTTTGTGGTACGGGCCTCACCTCTAAATCTGAGTATCTATACTCCAGTTAACAATTGATTAATTACTAAATAAATTGAAGATTATAAAAAAAAAAAAAAAAAATTAATCATGATTAATCTGATTTATTTTTTCAGCCCTAACTGTAACACCTCACACTGCCTACAGCTTATCTGGTCATTTATATTTATTAAATCTCCTAATTATGTTAGGAGTCAAGTCTCAAGTCTGAAAAAGTGAGTTTCAAGTCCGTTTGAGTCCTTTGTTTTAAAATGTTAAAAATAAATAATTGACCATGCATTCTTTTTAAAATCTTTTTTTTTCTTCTTAAAACTTAATAAAACCAATTCAAGTCACTGGTATAGAAATACAAATTAAAAAATATATATTTTCAAGTCAACTCATAGCTAATCAAGGACTTGGGTCCAAGTCACGTGACTCGATGTAACCAGAGCAATTTTACCTTCAAAGCCTGAAACTATGCTTCTATTGGATTAACATGTTTTAGTCAAATAAACAACTGAACTAACAGAGGGGGGATGTAAATGTTAAAGAAAGCTTAGGTTTAAAAAAAACAGGTTTAAACCAGCCTAACATTTCATGATATCCAATGAGAAACAGTGACTCTGAGAACAATGGTTAGCCGATATGTCAGCTAATATGTTGATAAGAGCTGAAATCCCACAGTCTCGATAAAAGACAGGAAATAAAAAGGTTAATCTTACTAACCATCCTTTATCATCATCCTCGGCCAGCTCCTCCACATCCTCCTCTGGTCCCTCAGTGATCGCTGATGACAGCTTAGACTTGAAGCTGTTGAGTAGCGCCAATGTCTGCAGATTCATTACACACTGGTTTTAGCTTTTACAGAAGCTTGAATAGAGCTGCTCAAATGGATGGATTTTGATAAGAAGACCTCATGCTTGATTCTTTACCTGTTCTTCTCTGTTTGAACCTTTTTTCTTTTTTTGTTTCCTGAGGTCTTCGTACTTCTTTCTTCCCTCCAGGTACTCTGCCACGGCCTCGCTGGTTGGCTTTTTCTCTGTATCAGAAAGATGACAGAGATAAAACAGCTGCAGGTTATTTCCTCCTCATTCCAATATTATTTCACTCATGAGGAAAATAAAACAATGGCTCAATATTCACAGCAGATACTGATGTCCCCTCAGTCTATCTGGAAGAATTTGAATAAAAAAAAGAATGATAGTATGATACAGATTGTAGATAAAAAAAAAAAATACAATTCTCCATGTAAATTTCCATAAAAGACCTCGGAAAATATTAAGATTAAGGTCGGGCTGGGTGATATTGCTTAAAAATCTAATTTGCGGATTTTTTTCCCAACTAATCTGATTTTTTTTTCCTTCTCCCTTATGTTTCATGACAAAAACAAACAAATAACATACATTAATTTCACAAACTAGCTTTTATTTTTATCACCCCCTTTGGGAGGCAACCTTAGTTTAATGGGCAACAAAATTCAAGCCGTGAAAATGCTTGTAAAACAAAGTCTCACAACAAACAATGAACATTTTACAATCTAAATATTTTCAGCTAGTGGCGTTACACAGACAGCACATTTATTAGTGATAAATACCCATCTAATAAGAAAAAGTTATGAACCAATGCTGGCCTGATCTTTGAAAACCCAAGGAGTGCAATGGGGGGTAGAAAAAAAGTCCAGATTTTCCAAAAATTAAATATATCAAAAACAGAAAATTCGACGAATCAGCTTATCCATAAATTGCCCAGTTCTAGATTAAAGTAGCACAATAACTTTTAGCCACTAGGGGTGCTAGACCTGTAACTTCTGGACTGTCCCAAAATTAACCAGCCTCCATCTGTGTTTTTGAATCTGCTAACAGGCCATTTTGGATGTGCAGACTAAGAAGGTATGGAGTTACTTTTAAAGACAAAGAAACTGTAATGAGCTCAGAACTTAGGACCCAATATTCAAGGCAAGACAGACATTGGGAAGATTCAACACGTTAATTAAAAATAATCAGGATGTGGAGCTGTGGATCTGCAGCAGAGGGGAGGCGGGGGGACCGCCCATCACTGGTACTCTGGTACTCTGGTTAGGGAGAAACACAGGTAAGTGACCATGATCATCTGACGTTAGATGATTATGCATGAGGGTCACTTACCTGGTTTAACAGTTCAGTCCATCCTTTCAGAACGAGGCAGAATCCTACCAATGGACTACCAAACGAGATACAGCGGGAGCCGCCAGTAGTGAAGCAGATGCTACAGCCCCAGTGAACGATTATGAATCCGAGCCAGGTCAGGGATACAGTTCAGAACAGATAGGCTCAGAGATCCAGGAGTCCGTAACGCGTTAAGGGGCTCCGATCAGAACAGGAACAGGAAGGTTCAGGGTTCCATGAGTCCAACAGAGGGTTAAGGCAAATCGTTCAGATGGCAATAGGCAAACTCAGTATTTGAGAGGCATGATAACAGGAAAACTACGCTACTTTAAAACTCGCTCCCTCCACTGAGCCAAAAACAGAAACAGGGCGTGCTCAGTGGATAAGAGACCAGACATGATCAGGAACACTACGACAACTAAAAACTTTTCACCACTCTGCCTCTGAGAACGAGAACATCAACTATAGAATCTGCAATGATCTCAAACTAGACAGACGACATCAATGATCTGGCCCCGATAGCTGGGACTGAACCGTATATAAAGTATAAGGACCAGGCGGATAAGATGAGTGATAATTGGGAACCGGACAGGTGGGCAGGTGAGTGAGACGAGTAATTAGGTCAGCTACAGTGGGGCAAAAAAGTATTTAGTCAGCCACCAATAGTGCAAGTTCTCCCACTCAAAAAGATGAGAGAGGCTGGTAATTTTCATCATAGATATACCTCAACTATGAGAGACAAAATGAGAAAAAAAAATCCAGAAAATCACACTGTCTGATTTTTAAAGAATTTATTTGCAAAATATGGTGGAAAATAAGTATTTGGTCAGTTACAAACAAGCAAGATTTCTGGCTCTCACAGACCTGTAACTTTTTCTGTAAGAGGCTCCTCAGTCCTCCACTCGTTACCTTCATTAATGGCACCTGTTTGAACCCGTTATCAGTATAAAAGACACCTGTCCACAACCTCAAACAGTCACACTCTAAACTCCACCATGGCCAAAACTAGAGAGCTGTCAAAGGACACCCGAAACAAAATTATAGACCTGCACCAGGCTGGGAAGTCTGAATCTGCAATAGGTAAACAGCTTGGTGTCAACTGTGGGATCAATTACTAAAAAATGGAAAACATACAAGACCACTGATAATCTTCTTCGATCTGGGGCTCCACGCAAGATCTCACCCCGTGGGGTCAAAATGATCACAAGAACGGTGAGTAAAAATCCCAGAACCACACGGGGGGAACTAGTGAATGACCTGCAGAGAGCTGGGACCAAAGTAACAAAGGCTACCATCAGTAACACACTACGCCGCCAGGAACTCAAATCCTGCAGTGCCAGACGAGTCCCCCTGCTTAAGCCAGTACATGTCAAGGCCCGTCTCAAGTTTGCTAGAGAGCATTTGGATGATCCAGACGATGACTGGGAGAATATCATATGGTCAGATGAAACCAAAATAGAACTTTTTGGTAAAAACTCTACTCGTCGTGTTTGGAGGAGAGAGAATGCTGAGTTGGGGGCATGGGGGTGGAAACATCATGCTTTGGGGCTGTTTTTCTGCTAAGGGACCAGGACGACTGATCCATGTGAAGGAAAGAATGAATGGGGCCGTGTATCGTCAAATTTTGAGTAAAAACCTCCTTCCATCGGCAAGGGCATTGAAGATGAAACGTGGCTGGGTCTTTCAGCATGACAATGATCCCAAACACACCGCCCGGGTAACGAAGGAGTGGCTTTGTAAGAAGCATTTCAAGGTCCTGGAGTGGCCTAGCCAGTCTCCAGATCTCAACCCCATAGAAAATCTTTGGAGGGAGTTGAAAGTCCGTGTTGCCCAGCGACAGCCCCAGAACATCACTGCTCTAGAGGAGATCTGCATGGAGGAATGGGCCAAAATACCAGCAACAGTGTGTGAAAACCTTGTGAAGACTTACAGAAAACGTTTGATCTCTGTCATTGCCAACAAAGGGTATATAACAAAGTATTGAGAGGAACTTTTGTTATTGACCAAATACTTATTTTCCACCATATTTTGCAAATAAATTCTTTAAAAATCAGACAATGTGATTTTCTGGATTTTTTTTCTCATTTTGTCTCTCATAGTTGAGGTATATGTATGATGAAAATTACCAACCTCTCTCATCTTTTTAAGTGGGAGAACTTGCACTAATGGAGGCTGACTAAATACTTTTTTGCCCCACTGTATTAGGGTAGTGATCATGACAGAAATAGTCACCCTCCTAGTTTAAATCCTGCATCAAAAAACTTAGACAAACTTTATTTTAATTTAAATTTTTTGAGTGCATTCAAAACGAAATTATTTTTTGTACAGCCCTCATGAAATTTATAATTCTTAAAGTGGTCAAATAAAAACATTGGGAGAAACAATAAACATGTCTCATCTTGTTAGCTAATGACAACTATGAGCTTAATTAGCTTCTGTCGTAAAGAGGCGCTCTGGGTCACATGACTCATTCATCTCATCTATTTAAGTTAAATAAGCAGTCTTTGACCACCAAGTGATGTATACAGATCAGCCAAAGCAGCCCCAGTCAACGAGCATGAATCCGAGCCAGGTCAGGGATACAGTTCAGAACAGATAGGCTCAGAGATCCAGTAGTCCGTAACGCGTTAAGGGGCTCCGATCAGAACAGGAACAGGCAGGCTCAGGGTTCCATGAGTCCAACAGAGAGTTCAGGCACAAGATGGCAATAGGCAAACTCAGTATTTGAGAGGCAGAACAAGGCATGATAACAGGAAAACTACGCTACTTTAAAACCCGCTCCCTCCACTGAGCCAAAAACAGAAACAGGGCGTGCTCAGTGGATAAGAGACCAGACATGATCAGGAACACTACGAAAACTAAAAACCTCTCGCCACTCTGCCTCCGAGAACGAGAACATGAACTTTGGAATATGCAATGATCTCAAACTCGACAGACGACATCAATGATCTGGCCCCGATGTCTGGGACTGAACCGTTTATAAAGTAGCAGGACCAGGCGGATAAGATGAGTGATAATTGGGAACCAGACATGTGGGCAGATGAATGAGACGAGTAATTAGGTCAGCTATTAGGGTAGTGATCATGACAGAAACAGTCACCCTCCTAGTTTAAATCCTACATCAAAACACTTAGACAAACTTTATTGTAATTTTGTATAGACAGAGTGCATTCAAAAATAAATTATTTTTTGTACAGCCCTCATGAAATTTATATTTCTTAAAGTGGTCAAATAAAAACATTGGGAGAGATAATAAACATGTCTCATCTTGTTAGCTAACAAGAACTGTTAGCTTAATTAGCTTCTGTCGTAAAGAGGCGCTTGTTAGAGGGATGGGTCTTTGTCCCTTCTCTGTCTTGTGTTCTTGTGAACTGGAACAATGCTGGGGTTGAGGCTGATGATACTTCACAAGCACATGAGAACAAAAAAGTACACATATTGAGAAATTCGTAATTTAATGTTTGTATACAAGAATTGATCCCAGAACTTACTTTGCTTTGTGAAATTAGGTAATTTTTAGAAAAAGTCTGGTCAGCAAGGAATAATCAATGGATCATTATTTTTACCTAAAACTAATATGTTTACGTTGATGTAATCAATTTAGCGTTAATAAGTAATAAAATAAAAATTATGATTTTTGTCGAGATCACCGAGTCCGGGATCGGCAATTTTTGCCCAAATCTGGTAATGCCTAACTGCTGTCATCTTCCGGCAGTGACGACGCGGTGCGGTAAGCCTAGCGTCATTCTCCCTAGTTTACGAGCAAAATCAATGGGAACTACTAAACACATCTGCACTATTTTAGATTTCCAGAGAACTTCACCATTGAAATTCGCGAGAGCTATGGTTAAACTTACAATTCCCACATTGGGTAAAAGTGAAAAACAAATGAGTT